AGGAAACCAAAATCGTGAATAGAAACAGGAATAGGAACCAGAGCCAAAATGGAAAAAGGAAAAGAAAAGGGTAAAGTGACAGGAAAGGAGTAAATAAAAATGAGCTTGCCTGTCAAATATTTTCCTGCTACTGCTGATCATCAAGCCCCCTCACTGCTGCAGATATTGAACGAAAATTTACTGGAGTTACATAGAAGCACTCCTTAGTCATTTCTTCTGAAAAGGTCTCAGAGTCAGCACTTATCACTTATTGATTGTTCTCAGATGGAAGCCAGTTGCAAAGCAAGTTTTGGTAAAAGTAACACATCTCTTCAAGGAAATGGCCGAGCATCTCCCATTTACTGTACTCAACAAGAGTTCTGTGCTATGATCACTCCTCTTGTCCTGACTGGAATCTCACAGCCTTCCTCTGTCAGCAGTTCCACACAAGACAGGTCACCAGGATCAAAGAAGTTGGATCATCACTTTCTAGGTCTTAAAGGTTAGTTCTTGGAACTAACGTTTTGCCTCAGAAATAAAAAAGTTAGTATTATTTGGAGTCTGAACAAATGTTACATATTAATGTCAACAACTGCAGCAAAAATGGAGTTCTCTCTCTAAAGTAAAGCATTTGTGTGTTTAAATTGCCAATACAGTGTCAGAATCATCCTTAACAAAGAGCTTTCTGAATGTCTCCAGCTGCTCTTTATTTGTACCCTTTATCATTCCGAGTTATCTTTTTTGGTACATATTTCAGGATGAATAATGTTTTGGTTTTCCAGCCTGGTGCTACATATTACTTTTTTAGGATGTGAATTTTTTTGGTCTTACAGTCAGTAACTAAAATAAGTCCACCGGGTGTTGTAGTTATTCCTTTGGGGTCTTGTAACTTGTAAACAGTTTTTCCAGTGAAGCAACCCTCCACAGTAAACTGATCAACAGGGCCATTGCCAGCATTGCATACCAGAAGATTATGGTGATCACCACATTTCTGGACACACAATCCCCATGGACCATTCAACTGTCAATCATCCTTGCCTGGCTCTCCTAACTCGTACAAAAACTTTCCAGCATTATCAAACACTTTCAAGCAATCATCACCCCAGTCAGAAATAATGAACTTGCTCTCATGGTAAATACATGCAATGGGATTGTTTAGTATTTCTGGTCCACTATCTCCAAATTTAAACAAAGGTTCACCATCCTGTGATAAAACTTGGATTCTGTTGTTGTAAAAATCAGCAACTATAACACGACCTTCATCATCCAAAGAAACACTGACAGGGTTCTGAAACTCACCACCCCTTGTCCCTCTCTTTCCAAAGCTTTTTACAGAGTTCCCTGTTTGAACATTAAATTGTTGAATGCGATGATTTAATTGATCCGCCACCAGAATGTTATCAGCATTTAGGTATGTGACATCAGTTGGACGGTTGAGACGGTTGAGCTGTCCAACATTGTTTCCATAACAACCCATTTTTCTCACACATTTTCCTTTCATATCAGTTATCAAGACAAAATGTTTTTCATAATCAACAACAGCGATTTGTCCTCTGTTGTTTACCGCAATTCCATTTGGCTTTTCAAGAGTGTTTCCTCCTATTTCTATCCCTCCCACAACTTGAATTAGTCGTTGTTTTACTTGGACTTTGTAAGGTCTTCCTGCAAACTCCTTGCCAGTTACCTTTATTGTGATACTGAAGATGCCTGGAACTTTAGGTGTAAACTTCACGGTGTAATCACCATCTTGATTTTCGCAAATTGTAAAACTTCCTAGTTTTTCAGCGGGTTCCACAAGCACTTTCACTTCATACACTTGTTCTCCAAGTATTTGTGGGTGGACGTCAAATTCTGATTCAACACCAGCTTGGAAATCTTTTGTCAGTCCTACTACTGGATTCCTTCTTGCTATGTAACCAAGGGTTAGATTCTTTTCGTCTTTCGTTTGATAAAACTTCATGGGATTGACCGGAATTTCCGGGATCGGTGTGTTTTCAAGATGTTCAAACCGTTTTTCTAGGTCATTCTTACTTTGCATTATATCTGAACTGGACGTTCTTTGAATCAGGTTTTTAGCGAACTCGATTGCTTGGTCAATTTGCTTCAGCAAGGATTGCACTTGCGTCTTTGCAGAGTTTAAATTATCCGCCCTTGACACGCGCGTGTTCTCAAGGGTGGAAATGATTTGCCGTTCGTTTTCTTTAATCCTGGCGATCATTTTTTCAGCTGCTTGGGAAACTTTAAGTTTAGTGTTAGTTATATTAGTTTCCAGTTCACGTGCTGTTTTTTCATATTTACGAATCGCATCGCTAAAAACCTCTGCTTTTGCTTTTAATACCTCGGTTCGTGTCAGGATGTTGGCTTTCACGCCGTCGGCTACTTTCTCCAATGCTTTCACATCATGTGCCTTGTGATCCTTAGCAGTGCATATTTGGCCAACACAGATTTGGCATTTAAGGCAGAAACTCCTCGTTATTTCTCGCTCGTGATATTGCTGGGAACAAAATGACTGTCCTTTCATCAGGGCTTCGTAGTCGTCAGCTTGGAACTGTTTGACTGGCGTCACCTTGTGTCCTTCTGTGTATTGTTGATGTGCGTTTACACAGTAAGTGCAGATGAATTTAGCACATTCGAAACAGTAACTTATCTCAGCGCTGTTTTTCTTGCAAATGCCGCACCTGATGTCAATTCCTTTGCCGCTTTGTTGTATGGCGAGAACACTGAGTAGACTATTATGATGAAAACTGGTCGGCAATTTGTCAAAACGGTTTGCCTCAGCGGGAACATCGACTTCAGCTTGACACTCAGGGCAGCGAAACTTTCCATTCCTTTGGCTGATCAGTGCGTGTTTCTTTATACACTCGCAACAGAATGTGTTCAGGCAGGTTATTGTCTTGGGATCGGTGAAAGTATCCTGACAAATTGAACAAGTAACTTGTCCTTTGAGTTTTTTCGGCAGAGAGTCCATCGTTGAAGCTTCGTTTACAGCGACAGAAAATGTATTTACATTCGGCGGAGCTAAACGTAGTGGCAGTGACAGAGAATGTAAATACTTTCCTATTGGTATAAACGCACGTGAGCCGTTATGGCGTTAATTGACTCTATTGTTGTAAGGTATATAAGGTTTTGACAGTTGCAATGTATTCATCTCAGCTCTCGAACTATCAAATTTTAAAATGCCGTCCGATGATGATCTCGCGCGAAGCATTTCCGAGCTCAAAGACGAGTTTCGATCTGGTTTATCTTCTTTAAAGAGAGAACTTGCACAAGAACACGACGCTGCGCTGAAGAAGCTCAAGACAGCTACTGCTAATGTTCCGAAGTTTTAAAAGAAAGGCAACGAGAAGCAGTTCCTACTTAATTCTGAAGTTCTTGAACACGTCCAGTCTGCTTCTACCGCCCTTCAGGCGTCTTCGCCTCAAGTTGAAAAGGCCTTCGAAGAGTTAAAGGAAAGTTCCAATTTTTCGAACCCTTTCGTTGCCGTCAATTGGCCTAAGGCTCACCGTGGTTCGCGTGTTGGCAGTGTTGGCAGTTTTGGCAGTTTCGGCCTTTTCAGGAATCAGTGCCCCGTCCTTCAGGCGTAGTTTTCACCTAGCCAACCTGGGAATCGTACGTGATGGACTCGGATGTTGGTGCACTCGTCGAGGACACAGATAAGTTAAGGAATTTTGTTGAAGATGATTTTGTCGTAGTTCTACTATCGTTGTAGCCGGTAGGCTAAAATCCCATATCATTGTTCAGTTTTGGCGTTCTATAGGCGCCAGTCAATATATTCTAGATTTTATCGAGCATGGTTATCGTATTCCTTTCCACTCTAGTTATAATAAGTCAGCTTTAACGCATTCTGATTTTGTTAACGAAGCTGTTTCCTAATTGTTGGTTACCAATCGCATTTTTGGATCTGGGGTCCTGCCCCATAACGTCAACCCTCTTTCCGTTTCTGTTCAATCATCTGGGAGGAAGAGGTTGATCTTGGACCTTAGGTTTGTAAATAAGCATGTCTGGAAGCCAAAGGTCAAGTTTGAGGTTCTTAAGGTGGCTCTGAATTATTTTGACAAGGGTCATTTCATGTTTTCATTTGACATTAAGAGGGGTTATCATCATGTCCTTATCTTCCCGCCCCACCAGACATTTCTGGGTTTTTCCTGGTTTTACCAGGGTAAGGTCCGTTAGTTTTGTTTCAGGGTCCTGCCCTTCGGCCCCTGTTCAATCCCTTTTGTTTACACAAAGATTTTTAGGCCTCTCGTTGCCTACTGAAGGTGGGTTGGTATTCACATTGTCGTTTATATTTATGATGGTTTAGGGGAGGGGCCTTCATATCCGGTTGCTTTAGACCATTCCACCAGGGTTAAGACTGATTTGATTCGTTCTGGCTTTGTACCCTACCTCGAGAAATCTGTTTGGGTTCCTACATCAGCCCTTGATTGTTTGGGTTTCCCCATTGATCTTTTTCAGGGTTTCCTTTTTGTTCAGGGGATAAAACTCAAACGGGTTCTTTCTGATATTGATTCCCTTTTAGAGGCTAATTGTTGCACTGCCAGGGGACTGTCCGTTCTTGCTGGTCGTATTTATTCCTTTAAACTAGCTGTAGGTTATGTTACAACCGTTGATGACAAAGTTTATTCATATGTCCATCGTCCTTCAGTCTAGTTGGGACTCTAGGTTTCCTTTGTCCGATTCTGTCAAAGAAGAGCTTTTTTTCTGGAAGGAGAACGTTCGGTGTTTGAATGGTAGGCCCACTGGGCGTCACTTTTCATGTTCTCGTTCCATTGTTTATTCAGATGCTAGTGATCTAGGGGTTGGCGGTGTTGTTAAGACCACGAGGGTGTTATTTGTCATCGTCCGTGGACTGCTAATGAAATGTTTCCCAGCTATATTTGTCTCTCTAGTTTTTCCGTAGTTTTGTCAGGGTGCGCGATTTAATGGTTTACGGATAACCGCTACATTCCGTCCATTATTCGCAACGGGAGTATGAAGCGGGGTTTACACGAACTTTCCGTCTCTATTTTTCAGCTAGTTTTGCGAAATGGTATTGATTTGCAGGTGGACTGGATTCCTAGGTCTCTCAATGGGCACGTGGATGCCATCAGCAGGATCGTTGACTTTGATGATTGGGGTGTTTCGTTTGAATTTTTTCGCCTTGTAGACAACATTTGGGGTCCACTTCCGTAGATCGTTTTGCCCATTCTAATACCGCAAATTGCCCAGATTTTTTTCTCGTTTCTGGTATCCTGACTTGGAGGGGGTGGATGCCTTTTGTTTTGACAGGGCGGGGGAGAATAACTAGCTCGTTTCCCCAGTGTCTCTTGTTCCCAGGGTTATTAGGCATTTGTTTGTATGTCGGTCCATGGGCGCTATTATTGTCCCCAAGTGGGTCTCAGCTCCATTTTGGCCCATGCTCTTTGGTCCCCATTCCCCCTTTTCCTTTTGCGTTAAAGAGACCATTGTTTTTTACCAATGTTTCTAATATTTTTGTTCCGGGCTCCACAGAGTCTATTTTTTATGGCCCTAACTTTAGTCTCATGTATTAGCCGTCCGTTTGTCGGCTTGTTAGATTTGTGCTTCTAGGCTTAGTTTCTTTTCCGCAGTTACGTGTAGTTATTGTTTAGCCTATATTAAGTGTGGTTTATTATTTTTGAGTGATTTGTTCTGTTTTTTCTTTTGCCTCGGTGGCATTTACGCGGGTCTCGGTGACCTTGTTTGCACCTTCACTGATCCCGACGGGTCGTACCGTTACATTCTTGCGTGACCTCGGTCAGTTTTGAATCCTTCCAGGTCCCCCATATATATGGTCGCGTGCGCCTCGGTGGCCACTCTCTTGTTATGTATCTGTGTGATAGTTGTATGTTTTTGCACTACATATTACCGCGCGTTTCCTTTTTCTGCTCCTTTTTTCTCGTGCATCTTTTTCATTTTTTAAGTCCTTATATTGAATCCATATGGTCTTTTATTTCTTCTGTTTTTCAGATGTTTTTCGCTAGCCCTATGTGGGCTGAGCTTAACGATGTCAGAGCTCCCTCCCTACGCTGCGTAGCAAAAAGCTACCGGAGGTAGTCCTTGGTTCCAGGGCAGATTCGACTACTCTCACCTACCTCAACAGTTTTAAGCGATGGCGTGCTTGGGCCAACAGATTTCCCGAGGTCGCAGTGCTGCCTGCTACTCCGGCTTACGTTTCTTCATACCTGCTCAGTGTTCTCCAGGCTTCTAGTTCTCCTGCGCCGGTCCAGAACGCCCTCTATAGCATCCGCTGGGCTCATGATTTTGCTGGTTTTGACTCTCCTACCAATCATACACTTCCCCAGAAGGTCGTGGAGTCCGCTAAGAGAAGGCTATTACACCTCACTTCCAAAAAGCTCCCCATTACACCCGAAATTTTACTAACGTTTTTTCAGAGTCTCGATGGATCTTTGGTGGACACGAGATTCATCGCCATGACGTTACTGGCCTTTGCGGGGTTCTTAAGATTTGACGAATTGGCTAATCTGAAACTTAAAGATTTAGCTCTGCATGACACCTCGTTTTGAGCTTTTATTGAAAGTAGTAAAACTGATCAATTTCGCGAGGGCGCTATTGTCCCTATTGTCAAGTCTGGCACGGATTGTTTTCCCCTGGGGTAATTTAGAGAAGTACTTATCGTAAGCCAAACTCACTTTACCGACATCTTCCCAAGGTGGAGACGACTATTTGTTCGGAAATATTCAACCAAGTCTGGCTCTTACAAGAAATTTGGAGCCTGGGCGGATGGACTACAAGATGTAGAGAAGTTTTATTGAAGAAGACTACAGACGTGGGCTTAGATCTTAAGTCTTTCTCTTGGCACAGCTTCAGAAGTGGCGGTGCATCTGCCGCCGCTAATGGTGGTATCTCCGATAGAATGTTTAAGCGCCATGGTAGATGGCGTTCGGAAAACGCTAGGATGTTTACTTTGCAGACTCGATAGAGAGCCGATTAGCGGTCTCTATGTCTCTTGGACTGTATTGTTTCCCGTTCTTTGTTTTCTCAGCCGCTCCATAGTTCGAGCTGCACACCCATTCCCGTCTCTTAGTCGTGAATATAAATAGGAACACACCCTATTCTTGGTCAGTGTGATTCGGGAAACTTGGACCATATACAGTACTACTAGAATTACAAAAAACAAGTTTACATTGCACGGTAAGCAGCCAACCAGATTTGAATCTTTCTACCCTCTGACCTTAGAAAAATAGCGGAAGGTCTTACAACGGTTTCAAAGGTCTTCTTAAAAAGCGTGACTTTTGATAAACCAAAAACACTTCGCAGAGTGGTACGTTGTGAGTTAAGATGAAACATTCTTTGATTTAGAATCCATAAACAGATACTCGTCCAAGACTTTAGGCTTAGCTCCTTTCAAAGCTTTAGAACACACTATCTTTTTCTTCTTCAGTGTGGTTTTGGGGAACTCGAACCATTTATGGTATCACTAAAAATGAATTACTTATAGCATAATAATAATAATTTTGATCTTTCTGTTAGCAGCCAACCGATATGAATCGTTCTCCGATT